CTCGGGGTTTGATGGGGAGAAGCGCTCGGGAACGCGGCGCGAAGCGGCGGCGCCTTGATGTGATTGTACGGAGGGCGTGACGTGCCCGTAAATCCAGGCATCACGTGGCCGTAAATCCTGTAAATCGGCGTAAATCCACCGAAATAAACGCTTATGCTGCTTATGCCGCGCTTTCGAGCACTTATGCGGTAAATATGAGTGCTTTTCCGCTTGCAGCAGGCCTCCCCGGCTCTTGGGGGCTAAACGGACTACATAGAGCGACTTTTTGAGTACATTATCCATAGTTACACGCATTTTGGTAATATACATCAACTTCTATCTACTGCAGGAGAGCAAAAACACCCCCGGGGAGGTGCAGCCGCCGGGGAACGAGCGGGACAGGCGACGCGTCGACGCGTCGCGCGAGGCGTGGGAATACCCGGGAACCGCCGAGCCCCACCTGCCTAATAAGGCAGGAAACGCGTAAAGCCAGCGGAATAAGTAGGCGCCGCAGTGATATAGAACCTTATCGCAGCTCTACGTCACGGTATCAGCTCTCTTATCGCCCGCATGCTTGCCCGAAATGACAGGAACGCAGTTTCAATTGATCAGGAGAATGAACTCGGGCCACGCGCTCCTGTGGCGCCACAAGTGGTCAGGCATTCGCATTTCCTGAGGGTGCTTGTCTGTGCTTGTACAGGTAAGAGTAGGTAAGAATGTCAGTACTTGCTGGACTGCGAAGTCCAAGGCGAAACCCTAACCATAAGCCGTTGCTTCAAACGTCTACTCAATTCGCGGAACTTCTCCAAGACCCCCACTCGCTCTCCAACATGCCCATCATGATCAGGTCTTCCCAATGGCCGTCCACCCAATTGCTCTTCCGCGACCTACCCTCCTCGATGAATCCTCTGCCAAAGCCAGAATGCGTCCGGCGATATTCAATCGGCCCATACCATACCGATGTGCGAATGGCACTCACACCTTCTCGTACATCCTCCTAGCCCTCCCGTTCCCCTCGAACACGCTCAAGCTCACGCGATGCACGCCCAGCCCCTCGAACGCGTACCGCACCAGGAACCGCAGCACCTCCGCGCCGAAGCCCCTATTCTGCCACTCGGGCGCGAGGCACATCGAGACCTCCGCCTCGCGGTTCTTCTGGCTGAACATCCACAGCCGGCACTCGCCCATGGGCTCCCTCGTCTCTTTGTGCTCGAGCACGGCGCCGACGACGGCTGTCTCGTGCCGCTTCTTGATCTCCTCCTTGTAGGAGGCCCGGAGGGGCGCGATGGGGGCGCTGTCCATGAAGCGCTGGATCGTCGCGTCGTTGTACATCGCGAGCAGGAAGTCGAAGTCTGCCTCCTGGGCTGCGCGTAGGATTACACGGTCTGTCTCGAACATGTGTATGTGGGCTGATTGTGTGGTGGATATGCTCATGGCAGTCGAATCGCTCCGTACTTATCTGAAATTGTATGCAGCTAGGCGGTCGAGTCAGATGATAAGGAGCCATTATGGTTGCGGCTCCGTGGACGTGGGGCGACTAACGTGGTAGTCTGCGTGTTTGCTCGAGCCCTGCCAGAGGCGAAGTTGTGCCGAGGTGCGAATGACTTAGCGGACGTGCGAAAGATGCCGTACTGACCACGGTCATTGTTATTTCAGCGGGTATAGTCCAAGATAGTCGATACAAGATGGTACAATAGCAGGTATGAGATACAAAATGGCTGCGCCCAAGATAATTAAGCATGATACATCTAGAGTATCGTCTGAAAGTAAGGCGACGCACGAAAGAAAAAGATTAAGGTGTCAAGCGCGGGCCTAGAATGTCCCGCAATGTCTGTATGTATGGATCTCGCACACCGTCGCAGTTGGCAATCTGGACGTGCTGTAAAGTGGATAGAGTGACTTTCCATCTAGGCTGGTCCGTGTATTGAACGCGTGACCTTAGAGTATCCACAACCGCTTCCCCCGATAGACGTTGACAATTGCGCAAGACCAGAGTCTTCAATGACGGCAAGCGCAATCGCATTTCCACCCCCTCCCCTTCGTCGCTCTCGCGATACGGCGCGAGCAGTCTGATCACATTGTCAGACATGTCGGACGCGACAATTCCAAAAATCTGCAGCTTCGGCAAGCGGTCGAAGCACCATTGGAAGTCCTTCGTCCGCATATCCGCGTAATCCATATAGAGTAGCTCGAGGGGTGGATTGCAGCGCCTGATGAGGCTGCGTAGGCCCATGCCTGTGGCGTGATCGCTCGAGGGCGACTGGGAGTAATCTTGAGCCTCGTCTTCGCTATCGCCCGATTCATAGTCAAACTCGTCGGAGAGCCGATGGTCGACATTGAGCAGACCAAGGTTGAGTTCTCTGAGCGAGGGTGCGTGGAGATGGGAAAGGAGGGCTCGAGTAGATAACAGGCCCCGCAAAGCCAGTTCGACCAAATGAGGTAGAGAGACCACGGGCGCGGAGGTGTAATCATACATCTCGGTCTGCGGCCAGCCGGCCACTCGGAGCGTTTGCAGTTGGGGGAAAGCAGTGAGGAGCTTGAGCAGTTTGACGGGGTGGATTACGTCGGAATTATCCTGTATGATAAGAGTGGTGACCTGCATAGGCTCTAGGAAATAACGTTCAGGCAGGGTGCTCATGTATAGCTGCATCGAGAACTGCCCCTCGATGAACTGGAAGGTGTCTCGGGTAGGTCGAAAGGGCGCCCTTGCTACTTCGTCCTTCATGTCTTCATCAATAAATATGTCTATTCTCTCCAACGCCAGCGGTTCGTCCTCCGTACGGCCCGGTATATTCGACATCTGTATGTGTTCTATCCAGTTGCCCTGGACCTTGAACGAGCGCCATCGGGCTATATGCGGTATGAGTGGAGAGAGAACGGCGAGCATCACGTCGACATGCGCCATGTTGATCTCGACGTCGAAGGTGAGCGGTGATGAATGGGCCGCCCAGAGTTCGCATTGTCTCTGCAACGACCTGATCCCTCTCTCTTCTTCATCCAGAAACAGATGGTACCACACGCGTGGCCAGTCCGAGACAATGTCTCGCCACCGTTTGCAGACGCGCGAGATAGTAGCTGGTGCGTACGGATGGACGGCAGCGCATGATACGAAGAGTTCTGCCAGGATCTCCGGTGGCAGACGGTTGATTGGCGGGGTGGGCACTGTCTTTTTACCGCGCCTCGTATCCCGCTGCGTATCGTAAAGATGTGGCTGTATGATTCGACCGCCCATTGTCGACGCCAGATAAACTTTTCCCGTCGACAGCCGCAGTGGAGGATGGTAGTCGAGAGGCATCTAACTTGGCGGCTGCCTGGCCGGCCAGGCACTTCGTCGCGCTCACGCGATCGACTTCTGTCGTCACAATGGCGTGGCAACGACGGTCCACAGAGAAGTCCACAGTAGACTCATTTGGCTAGTCTTCTTGGACTGCTTATGTAACCACAGAACTGCACAGGAGCCCAGCCTCCCAGTGAACTCTAATTAGTCCCGTACCCCCGCCATCGACGCGCCCGACGTTCCCGCCAGTCCTCAAGACATTCGCCCTCTAACTCAAAATGCCAGGTGTACGAGACGTCGCGTAAGTGCTACTCCTAATGCCCGTGCGGAAAGCGTCAATGACCGGCTCGATAGCCCCGATACATTCATCGCAGCATACGCTTCGCACCTCAAGCGGGCGGGAAAGCTTGAGGTCCCTACATGGGTGGACATTGTCAAGACTGGCCCCTTCAAGGAACTTGCACCCTATGACCCTGACTGGTTCTACGTCCGTGCAGGTTCGGAATGTTGCTCTTCTCGTCATGACTCAAAGCTTTACCTGTACCTTGCACTCCAGCTGCCGTTGCAAGACACATCTACCTCCGCAAAGACGTCGGTATTGGCGCATTAACGAAACTCCACGGTGGTCGCAACCGACGCGGTAACCGCCCCTCCCACCACGCAGACTGTTCTGCCTCCGTACAGCGCAAGGTCTGCCAGGCCCTCGAGAAGATTGGCGTTTTGGAGCAGACAGACAACGGGGGCCGTCGGATAAGCCAAGACGGCATGCGGGATCTGGACCGAATTGCCACTGCTGTAGTGGAGCAGGAGAAAGAGGAAGAGGAGGAGGAAGAAGAGGAGGAGGCTGAGGAGGACGAGGAGTAGATGTGTTTCGCTGGTCGGGCATGTGGTCCATGGATATCGCATGATTTATCTCTCACCTCGGTATGCTCCATGCGCTCTCTAAAATATGGCGAGGCTACTCTGCTTTCATTATGACGTTCGCATTCGGGCTCGACGCAGGTCACGCAGAGCATATTGCTCAGTTGTGCTTTGCAGAAATACAACTCTTTCATGCTCACAGGAGCTGGAGTAGTCCAATCATTTCGTTTGTGAGTTGTTCGTCTTCGCTGACGTCCAGGAATGTCTGCACATATGAGAGAATCACGAGTTGGTGCGTCCTCTGAGAATCAGTTGATGTATCGGGCTAGTTGCTTGAGGGGCTTGGAGTCTGCAGGACACATCTGTTGAGACCGGACCCTATTTGATATCTGTTCCGATAATGCTGATGCATCGTCAGTAAGATGAGTTTGGAACTTGCGACTCAACTGCCGTCCGTGATGGACGGCATATGATGGTCTCCTAGGCTAATGCTGCAAGGAAGTCGACATATCAAGTTATGTATGTGTCATTTGTGTTCCCTGCCTCAGTTTCTCTCCGTGTCTTCTGCATAGCGCTGCCAATGCCATTCACCCCTCCCTGACGCTTCAAAGCCATGCAACGATACTAAACTGGACCCAGGAGCATGGAGAGCATTGTTAACTCGACTCGATATCTCACGGATGTCATTCAAGTGATGCGTCCTACACTCCGGTAACGGAGGGAACTACCATCGTGTTAGCTTGGCTAGCGAACGTAGCGGGGAGTAGAAGTCCACACATTCTTTGCATGCCCACATGTACAATTACTACACACATATCTGCATTCCAGTGAAATAGTGTACGTGCACCGTCCGCAACTCTCCTGTCATAGAGTTTTCTCCTGTCCACATGGTGTCATCGATGAGTTAGCTATGCATGATACGCCGAAGATCATCATTGGTCATGCAGGGTTCGACGTTCATGCCTGTGCAGACGATTGTGGCCCTTGCTCGAAGCTCACAGGACTAATTGCAAGATGTGTATGGAGCCCTAGAGACTCGAATGGGAAACTCGTCAGCTCCACCGTTAGCTATTCGCTGTTACCTTTGCACAGGTTGTGTCATGCGTGGCCGCGAAATGACAAGGCATTACACAGGGAAGCGGTAAGGGTATTATCGGACCGGTCCCATATATTATGCCAGAGAGTAGAAGCCAACTCTTCAGACGTTTTGACGAGCACTCGCAAAGCCCGCACATCGCAGCGGCAGAAATCACGGAAGCATACATTTTTGAACCCTATGATCATCCGCGAACGGACCCGATGTGCTGCATGAAGGAGGCATCGAATGCGCGACGGACGCGGACTTGTCAACGGTTGTGCGAAGTCGGTAGCGGATATCGACTTCGATTAAGGTGGGAGACCACAAGCACGGGTCTCATCTGTATGGAATTTAGCGTGCAGGTATACCTTCCCCGTCACCCGCCCGCCTGCGCGGAACGTGCGAATGGTGAAGGGGACGTCCGATGGGGACATGCAACGGCGATATGGTGTCGATACGTGTTAACCCAACCCCTCCGCCCCAGTCGGGGAATGGGGCCATTACCGGTGGGCGCGGTCTTGAGTTTGAATGTGACGCTTGCTGCATGTAATGGAGGCCGTCGTGCCGACCAGCATAAGATTCCTGGAATCTGTCCGGAGCAAGGCAACTTCAACGCTGGCCGGTTAGCCACGAGTGCCACAAGAATCGGCGGCCGGATATCCCAGCAAGGATATCCGACAGTCGAGCCAGAGCAAAAGAACATACCTGCTACCGGATAAGAGCTAACTTCTATTGTTGTGCGGCAACGCTGGGCACGGAGAGCATGCACCTGCAACGACATATCAGAGAAGCGAACCCAGAAATTCTGGAGACGTCGAGCCGTGACTCTTTAGCACTTTAATCGGATGCACCGCTGTCACGGGCCTACGTTCGCCTTGCCATGATACTCTCAACGGGTTAATGGGCAGACACACCAGGGATGCATCCTATCCCGCCGAGAGGCGACGCGCGCGCGCTCTAGACTTTGATCTCGACCAGCCCCTCCGCCTCCTTTGCATTTTCATTGGCGGGTCTGAGGTCGAGGCAGAGCGTTTTGAGCACCATCGGGACATCGCTGCGACGTACCTACATACCTACAGATAGGGAGATCGTGAACGCACATGATATGATGAGCACGTCGCTTTCCTTGGTAGAAATTCTGACCGGCTCTCGCGCTGGAATAAATCATTTGATGCAGAGCGACGGGTGCAGTTTGGCAGACAGGCATCGTTACCTCCGGGAATTACGACCCATGTCGATGAGCAAGAGGGTCAAAGCCAGGCTCGCTTTCCCTATGTGGATGGCCACCCCACAAATCTACAGCTCGCTGAGAAAGAAGTATATCAAGATCTCATGCGCATCAGTCAGCGGCCGAGAGTGTAGGTAAGGCGCCCCCCCCCCCCCAAAGTCCAAGATCGTGGGCGGTATTTTGAGGATCGATATTCCCACTCCCGGCGAAGGCCCTGGGCGCAGGCTGCATGAGCCGTCACATATCTCAAGCTCAAGCGCACTTGAGAGATTCTCCTTGCCGACCATAAATCACATGGCTTGCTTTCCGCCTCGGTGGTGGTAAGCTGCAGCGTAGTCAGCTTGAGACCAACGCTTTTCTGACCCAAGTCTGCGCTGTGAAAAATGGGTCAGCAACTGAACTGCCGTCGGACGGCTTTCTGGGGCAGCGATGTCGCGCGAAGGGTTAGCGTCTCAGCGTCCGGGTCCCGCGAGGCGTCGCCATCTCGGTGTATTGGCACATTAGGTAGATTGTAGACGTCTGCTATAAGCTTGAGACATGGGTAACTGTCGTCTGAGCATCATGATCAACCCTCTCAGGGACCGCGAAGATGCAGCATGCGCTAGTCGGGGACGGCCCTTCAGCGCTTCAGCGCCAAACGCGTCTTCTGCAAAAGTCTGCAAACTGCTATTGGTCTGCCACGATGACGTCTTGCGTTGAGCGCGGTTGCAACCACAGAACCTGATTTCCGTCCCACGTCTAATGGTTGAATAACCATGTACACCCCGACGTGATTTCTTACGATTTCTACTTGATATAGCAAAGAGTGCAAGTTATCGGCCGATATTCGAATCGCGGGATTCTAAGCGCAGTCAAGATGATGTCCGTTGGATCTGTCGGGATCAATGAGGAGAGAAGCCCTTGGCTTCTTTTCCCCTCGGGGGTGGCATCAGTGGCTTAGCGTCGTTGTCAATGGCATCTCGATTCTCTCTTGACCTCGGATCCGCTTTGACCCTCACGCTTCTTGGATAGTCCCCGGGGCTTATCCTCGCCTGCGTTGAAGTGTATTTGCAAGGTGTTGCAGCCTGACTTTAATCTTAAAGACTGCGGTGAAACGACACTATGCAGGGCTATATCGGGCAATGTGAAAGCCAAAGGGACGTCGGGCTCGGTCCCGCCCATGGCTTCCATCGCTCGATGCGAGGTGCGGTCGTCGGTACCGTTCGACAACCAAGTTCGGCATCAGACTGTGGTTAACGACCGTCCTTTGCTCCCATCGGAAGATCTCGCAATCCAAGGCACTGAGTGAGTGGATGACTTCCCGTAACGCTAAATCGCTATTTTTTTCTAAAATTTCGTCCCTAAATCCCTAAAATCTGGCCCCGATGTGATTGTGCCGAGATGCCGAATTGTCACGCTTTCCATGGTAACGTTTTGTTGATGGCAGTCGTCAAGCAAAGGCGTCTCTAAATCCTGGACTTTACAGAGGGGTCCCTACCCCTCTGTAAACTGCTGAACGTCTCTAAATCCTCGCTTAGAGTCGGCTAACACTCACTTAGCGTCGGCTAGCATTGATGCCTCGTGAGCGCCTCCATATTTGGATGGATCTCGTGCTTCTTTGCTCCAGCAGCGTTCTGCATCTCGCAGCAGCGAAGAGTCCTCACGGTTTAGAGACCATCTCTATTTCTCCATATTTATCCCATCAAAATCGATCACTCGGTGTGACCACTTTGCTGACAACACCTTAGAAATAGGGAAAATAAGGATTTAGTGTTACGGGAAGTCATCCAGTGTTACGTCCCTTAAGATGTTACACGAGGATCAGGTTGGTCCCAAGACTCCCTTGCATGTGCTACGGCGTCTTCTCAGCTGCCTAAGTTTATATCGTTCGCAGCCGTCAACAGCAGTGTATTCTTTGCCTCGGATATAAATACAGCGGGGGGTACCCTGCCTAACACCCTGTTCTCCGTCCACAAGATGTACCGCTTCCTAGTCTGTGCTCTCGGGCTTCTGGGGACAGTCCTCGCTCAGTCAGTCGACAGTTATGTCGGCAGCGAAGGCCCCATAGCAAAGGCCGGCGTCCTTGCCAACATTGGGCCGAACGGCTCAAAGGCCTCTGGTGCAGCCGTGAGTGACATTACTCTCGTCCAAGCCAGCGCAATGTCTGATGTGGTCCTTCACATAGGCCGGCGTGGTGGTGGCTAGCCCCAGCAAGTCGGATCCCGACTATTGGTACACTTGGACGCGTGACTCGTCACTCGTTTTCAAGTCTCTCATTGATCAGTACACCACTGGTATCGACAGCACGAGTTCGCTGAGGTCTCTGATAGACAGTTTCGTTATTGCCGAGGCCAACATTCAGCAGGTCTCTAATCCCAGCGGCACTCTTACTACCGGCGGCTTGGGAGAGCCAAAATTCAATGTCGATGAAACTGCATTCACCGGTGCATGGGGTCGACCCCAGCGCGGTATGTATGATGTCTACCTGCCTATTTCATGACTGAATTCGAAATCACAGACGGACCTGCGCTCCGTGCGACTGCTTTGATCACCTACGGTAACTGGCTCTTGTCAAACGGGAACACGACCTGGGTTACCAGTACGCTGTGGCCGATCATCCAGAACGATCTCAACTACGTCGTTCAGTACTGGAACCAGACCACCTTCGACCTCTGGGAAGAAGTGAACTCTTCCTCGTTCTTCACCACTGCAGTGCAGCACCGTGCCTTGCGCGAAGGCGCAGCCTTCGCTACCAAGATCGGTCAGACCTCCTCGGTCAGCAGCTACACAACCCAAGCGGCGAATCTACTTTGCTTTTTGCAGGTCAGCATTGAGAGCGCATCCAGTTCTGTATGAGAGCTGAATCTTGAATACAGTCTTACTGGAACCCCACTTCCGGATATATCACCGCTAACACTGGCGGTGGTCGGTCCGGCAAGGACGCCAACACCCTCTTGGCATCCATCCACACTTACGACCCCAGCGCGGGCTGCGATGCCACGACCTTCCAGCCCTGCTCCGACAAAGCCCTCTCGAATCTGAAGGTTTACGTCGACTCCTTCCGTTCTGTCTACTCCATCAACAGCGGTATTGCCTCTAACGCCGCTGTCGCCACTGGTCGCTACCCGGAAGACAGCTACCAGGGCGGGAACCCATGGTACCTCACTACGTTCGCCGTCGCCGAGCAGCTCTATGACGCCCTCAATGTCTGGGCTGCTCAGGGCTCCCTCAATGTCACCTCCATCTCCCTCCCCTTCTTCCAGCAGTTCTCCTCTAGTGTCACTGCCGGCACTTACGCTTCGAGCTCCACCACTTACACGACTCTGACCTCCGCCATTAAGAGCTTCGCGGATGGATTCGTCGCTATCAACGCCCAGTACACGCCGTCCAACGGTGGCCTCGCTGAGCAGTTCAGCAGGAGCAACGGCTCTCCCGTCAGCGCTGTTGACTTGACATGGAGCTATGCATCCGCATTGACCGCGTTTGAAGCGAGGAATAATACTCAGTTCGCCGGCTGGGGCGCGGTAGGTTTGACTGTGCCGACCTCGTGCTCCAGCAACAGTGGTGGAGGCGGAGGATCGACTGTCGCCGTGACGTTCAACGTGAACGCCCAAACGGTTTGGGGCGGTAAGCTCTTCTGGTAATGCTTCTCTGTAAGAAGCGACGACTTAACAGACACCACAGAAAACATCTACATCACTGGCTCGGTTGACGCTCTGAGTAACTGGTCTCCCGACAACGCCCTCTTGCTCTCGTCCGCCAACTACCCGACCTGGAGCAGTGCGTGTATTTCTCCTGTTGTGTTTACAACAGATGCTAACTGTGATCATCCCAGTTACCGTGAATTTACCCGCGAGCACTGCCATTCAGTATAAGTATATTCGCAAGAACAACGGAGCTGTCACCTGGGAATCCGATCCCAACAACAGCATAACTACTCCAGCCAGCGGCTCCGTGACCGAAAATGACACCTGGCGTTAAAGAGAAGCATCGCAGTCTGTTGTCGTCTCACAAAACTCGCTTCTTTCATACTTTCATTTGAGATCCGATCGTTGTATAACTGAACCTTACTCGAACGTAGCAAGGCTTCAGGTTGACTGTCTTTACTAGTACAAAATTTGTAGCCCTGTGTAAGAGGTCGAGTGTATACAAGAGATAAAATCAAACAGATCATATCCTGCTTCAGAAACTGGAACCTAACGGGCATCCTACCGGTGTCTGCTTCAGGCCTGCGACTCGCGGGAGGTTGCGTTGAACTTAAAACCATGTTCCACGCTATACCTCCGTGGGTTGGGCTGTGCGAAGACTTCATCAATCTCTTCAAGGGTCAAGCCTTTCGTTTCGACCACGAAGAAGTAGACTATGGCGACTTCGAACAAGTCCCAGAAAAGGAAGACCAAATAGACTGCCAGAACGGTTTGCGGCTGCGAACGATATCTCATGCACAATCCACATACCTTTCCAGCCTATTCGCTCCAAAGCTACGGGCAGGCTAGGTTGGGACGCAGCGTCAGGAACCTTTGCCATGTCTCTCAGTAGCTACTCACGCGAAGGTGTTTATGCACGACGCCGCTTGTGTCACGAGATTCAGGAATGCAAGCCCTTTGGCTCTCGCCTCGTAGCTCAACACTTCGGCTGAGTATACTCCTTGCCTACAGAAGTTCGTGGTCAGTGCTTGACCCTTACAAGGCATTATTGGCTTACATGGGCGTCCAACCAAAGGAGAATACTACCATGAACAAATAAATAAAGGATATCCCGGCATTGGATCTCTCCACATTGCCACTTTGACTCAACAGTGCGCTGACTATGGCGAGGATCACAACGAGCAAGGACGTGGCCGACAAAAGCAATGCTCTCCGACCGAATCTATCAATACAGGCGGAACCCTATATGAATCAACGATCCAATAGGTGCCAGTTTCACAATGTATCAGATATTATATCCGCACCGTCAACGCCCCGACATAAGATGTGACGGAATTCACAAAGTTGAGTGTAAGTTGTTTGTTTTGGCTCGTAATACCTGCATTCTTGAGTAACACCGGAAGGAAGTACGTGATTAAGCCATTCCCAGATAATTGCCCAAATGTGCCTGTTCCGAGGACATGAACGTCACTTACACTAGGCGGATGACTGTAATAATCTTACCCATAAGGATCACCATTCCTGACCTGTACCGATCCGCAGAGGAGCGGAAAAGAGGACGGAAATCCCACCATCGCTCTAGTAGCATGCCAATTATCAGCATCGCAGATCAAGGCTCGTACGAGAGCACGTACTGTCGCTTCCGTCGAGTTGGATCTTCTCTTCCAGTTCTTCCACTTCTAGCTGTACCAAGGGTGATTTTACATCTCCTGTGCGCGAGTGGAGTCTTGCCAGAATCTTGATCGCCCGCTCCTTTTTGTCTTGGCTGTACAGCCACCGAGGTCTGCAGCGGACAAACCATGTCTTCTATCCGACACTGAGGAAAAGAATGTAGTCACTCACGATTCTGGTACGAGGAAAACAAAAATCACGTTCAAGGCAGCCGGAACTATCTATGACATACGGCAAGGGTTCAGAAGGCCTCGTCATGTCATTTGCAGCTTGAGTCTCACCTGTACAAAGAGTGGAAGCCTCCAAGCCCATTCACTCCGATATTTGCCGGTCGCAACCATCATTCCCGTGGCGGTCATTTGCCCGACATAGTAGCTTGTGCGTTGGTCGGTGGTCAGCGCAATCAAGTCTAATGCCGGCCTCTAATGGAATCAAACCTACAAAGAATTCAAGAAACCTAGAAAGAGACCTCTAGTCTGGGGAGGAGTGATTTCGCCTAGATAGGACTTTGCCGCGGAATTGGCACAAGCCGAACCCATCCCTGCAATTTAAGAGGAATTATAGCGGTAGGAAGGAGGGAAAAAAGAAGGCGTACCAGTAAGAAATCGGCCACCAATAAACATGCTCCTGTTCGTGGAAAGCCCAGTGATGATGGCTCCGACACTGCGCTCGTATTGTGAGCACATGGATGGCAAACAGCAGGTGATCCATCTTACATGAGGATCGTATTGCCAAAGAACATGCAGAAACGTCTTCCGAATTTATCCGGCAGGATGGCTAGATATTCCCGTCGTATGCTTAATATGCAGGGCTGTTGGTACAGGAAACGACGTACCAGCGGGTATTACGCCGCTACATCGTCGCTTCGTGTTGAATATTGGTGTCCGGATCAATCGAAGTGATACTCACCAGAGAGAACCACTAAATCGATAGGTGTTCAGCATATTACCGAGAGCAAACCTCTCGAAGTACGTACATCGTGAATATACCGAATACAATCCCGGTTTTTGCACCAGAGGAGGACATCCCGAAATAAGTTTGGTATTGCTTCATGCTATTAATACCGCCCATCACCTGTCTGAACGTCAGTCTTATAGGTTCCTTAACAGCACGAGTATTACGGACAGTGCCGTCAAAGCCGTTATCGCCTGAACAGAAGCAGGTGACGAGGACGATCCAATACATCTCGATTGGAAGTAATTAGCCCCCGTAGGAGGATACAGACTTATCGCCAGGTAGCTTACTTGCATTGCCCTCAAGCTCCATGGCGCAACGCCTGGGTCGATAGCCAGAGCCTGCGTCAAAGCCTCTTGTCGCTCTTCCGGTGTCTTGCGGGAGGAGTGCAAGGGCTTAGCGTACTGGATGTGTTCGACGTCTTCTTTGACGTCCTCCATGAGGTCGGCGTCGCCCGTCAGCTTACGAGGTGAAGAAGCCATGGCGCAGGAAGCGAAGATCTGTGCTGGGGCTCATATCATCTGAGGAAAACGCGGTTTTTATTCTGCGGCGCATCTTGTTCGTAGCAGCACCATCACGCATAGAGGCTAGCGACAATGCTCCAGGGTATCTCCGACGCGCGCACGAGAGACGGTCAGATGGCGGACCTTCCGCCATTGTCAGCCATGGCTAGTGCGTCTTGGCAGCTCAGGCGTCGCTTTGATCACCCGAAAGGTGGATTTATGATTCAGTCTTCCGCGCCGCCAGAAGAATGAGACAGAAGAAGCGGCCCGCCTGCTGTATACTCAATAGATTGGCTCAAGGTCAGATGAAGTTATGTAGGTGGTGGCTGGAGGGATTTGTGGAGGACCAGCTAGGACCAGCCACCGTTAAACCATTTTGGAAATGGTCAATGTCATTGGCTGGCAATTATCCGATAGCTCACCTGACCAACGCGTTCCAGTCACGTGATCATATAAGACGCGCAGGCGCTGTGGTTCGTGAGCGAGCCACCAACAGCGACCAACAAGCCGAATATCGCAAAAACTTCTATGTTTCTATAGGCCTGCTCGACACACAATTGATCTGCTGCTTCACACATTCTCCGACGATCCTGCCCAACCGTCCTACAGCAGTACAAGATGCCCCCACTCTATCCCTGGGTTATTGCTAATTGGCAGCTGGGAGACAAGCTAGGCTCTGGCTTTTCTGGTTTTTCTTTTCCCTGTGTAGTTTTTGCCGAGACTTATGCTGCTGAATAGGGGCTATCTTCAAGGCTCGCAATGTGCATACTCAAGAGGTCAAGGCGCTCAAGATACAGGACAAGAACCACGAATGCCCCACGAATCGCTACGAACGACATATATACCCTCACATCCAAGGAGGGAAAGGTATGCCCACACTGTGGGCTTCTGGTATAGAAGGACCTTGGGACTACCTCGTCATTGACTTGCTCGGCCCAAGTTTGGACAGCCTATACAGGCAGAGCGGGAAAGCTGTTATGGACCTGGGAAGTGTGTGCCAGATCGCCATGCAAGTAGTGAGTGCGCCTGTTAATCTGGCAAGCCTTATCTTCGATTTCCTCCAAGATTGCCAGGCTAGAGTTCATGCACGCGAAAGGTGTTCTCCACCGCGACATTCAGCTGGGGAACTGCGTGGTCGGATTACCGCCCAATCACGAAACAATCTACATGATCGACTTCGGATTCTCTAAATGCTATAGGGATCCTAAAACGAAACGACACATATCCGACGATGACAAGAAACGATGTTTTGTGGGCAACTATTGGTTCAGTTCGGTAAATGTCCATTGCCGAGGGAAGGGTAGGTGATTCAAATTCCTGCCGGCACCCATAACTAACCATGTACGTACGTACGTCCGACCGACAGTACCCTCCCGAAGAGATGACCTAGAAGCATGCGCCCTAATGCTAATTCATCTCTTGACGCCGGGGGGCTTGAGCTGGACACGTAACGGTGTACCCAAGACCGACGCAGCCCACGACCGTATAATCCGCGAGAAGCGAAGAGCTCGCCCCGAAGAGCTGTGTAGAGGCCTTCCGGCACAGTTCGAGGAATTTCTCCGATATTGCAGAAGACTCAACTTCACAGAGGGCCCGGATTATACCAAGTGGATCGAGGAATTCAGAGAGCTCGCCTTGGAACATGGCTATCAAGGGGATGACCGCTTCGTATGGCCACCACCGGCTCCTGTCACCCAAGTAAGTCTGCTGGATGACGGACCTTACGGTACTAATGCGTTTTCTCATGTAGGTACCTCGTTCCCCTGCCAAACAACCGCGTCCCTCCCATGCGCCAGACGAGGTTGAGAGAATTCTCCACGATCTTGCGAACCTTAACCTGGGCAATCGTCCTGTTCTGGGCAATCGCACGAACATACTAAGCCCTACCACGCAGGGCGTCGCAGCCACAGAGGTACAGAAGGCTGCAGCACCCTCCAAGGACGAAGTCATCGTAATCAGCGAGACGTCGGAGGATACTCGCCCAAGGCATCAAACTTCCAAGATTTCTCAGATCGCCTCTCTAAGAATAGCTGTGACAAAAGCGTCCGACAACGCTGCACTATCCGCTCTTGTCGCTGACTTCGTGGCAGTTCTCAAGACTCATACGTCTAAGGCTCTCACAAAGCAGGGGTTTGCGTTCTTGGAAGCCCTGTACAAACAGCTCGCCGACCCTTCCGTATTCATCGCTCCTCTCAGGACCTCTCGCAATTCTGATACGCACGACAGTTCGGCTCAGGAGCCGAAGCACGTACGGATGAGCAAGTTGATTAAGCTGAGACAAGAAGTGGAGAAGGCGACTAACAATCGTGCACTTGCCAAGCTGGTGCAGGATTTCGGCGCCTTGACGGATAGGAGTAACGGCCGGACAGTGACGAAGGACGGCTTGGCATTCCTGGAGGGACTGTCCAGGAGGCTCGAAGCACTTCAGTGATGACCAGATGTATAAACGTTCGCCAGCCGTGGAAAACTCCTGCGTTCTATCTGAAGCACGTTCATTTGGCCAATCGGCGCTAACAACCCCAGTGTATCCTATCTTATGTTCGTCCCCACATCTGTTATCATTCATCTTGCTTGATTCATCACCATAAAGGACTTCTTGTATTGGACCTCCGTTATTGTAATGCTTCCGAAAACATAATGCCGACCTTTTCAAATGCGTTCCAGGCTACAGGCCACTATTACAAGTGGGCCCACTCTTAGGCGAGCTACCCGTAAATCATGTCTGCACGCCCCATGAACGTCGATACCAGGCAATATCGCTGCATGCTGAGCAATAGTTGACGATCTAACTACTCGTACAGGCCACGATGTATCAGGAGTGATTCCGTCAGAGCCGTTTGAGGCGAATCCCCGACATGTTAATGGGGAGGCGCAACGCCCGGTTCCAGTGCGAGTTGATTTGTCAGCAGATTGTGGCTGAAAGGTGGTCGCAAGTATCCCCTCGTATTCTTGTGCATTCCTCTGCTCCATTTTCACCTTATGCATGCATCAGCAATGTATATCACTATTGTAAACCAGCAAGAAGGGTATTCTACCATTACAGACTGTAGTAGATATAAACATGTCTGTCTCTTCTTATTCCTGAGCTGACCACCATCGGGATGAAATGATGGTCAATTTCACCGAGGTCGGCAAAGGAGTGCTCAGGGAAGCTATGTATTGTCTTTAGAAACATTTGGAACATATCTATATGTGCACACCAGTGGGTGCATTCCCTATTCTTGATACAGATGAGCTTGATTTCCAGGAAGCACAACTCTGTGTAATTAATGGACAAAGCAAGTACTGGATCACAGCTGTAAAAGGCTGAATATATATCTCATGTACTATGTTGATTTTACAGTTCTAACATAGGGGAAGGGACCTGCTTCTGCTGCGGCAGGAGAGCCCGGACAGTGACGAGGATATTTGGTGTGACACTTTTTGCGATGGTGTCACAGCTTGTCACGTCCGCGACGCGTTCGGACGCGTCGTTAATTGCTCTTTACTGCCAGAAAACCTACAGCGTGCTACGTTCACATTCACGCGTCACTTGATTCATAAAAGTTGATCTATATCAACGAGCGGATGCAACGTTGGTTGTACATTTTTGTTAAATGTACTTGCGGTCTCGTTACCTCTATCGAATGAACTTGATATTTGGAAAATCAGAAATTCAAAACCAACGTTGCATCTTCTGTATCATGACATCCCTGCTGGTACATTTTATATGCGTGATTTTCGACATGCGGAAGGCTCT